GGCGGCAGCCGAAGGTGGCAGCAAGGGCCTTTGCAAGAAGAGAGAAAAATATATTCTAAAAGAAAAACCTAAGCTTTGATACCATGTTGTGATTCAGGAATTGTGTATATTGTTGTACACATACCAATCTTATTTATAGAGTGAATACAATAAATGATAGAGATACTAATCTCTAATATTATGGAAACTAATCTAATCATATCCCTAATTGATAGTGAGGATAATAGCCATAATATATGTATCCACAATATCTGTAATATATTCACAATATCTGTAACATTTATCTTTCATTTACTTTCATTGATAAATAATGTACAGAATTGTAAATTTAGTTTAATATTTTACTCTGCTTAATACAAATCATTTATGTATTTTGTTTATGGCCTGTAGTGACTTCAAGTTGACTTCATACGCTTTTAAACAGGTGAATTTTCAGCAGATATCTTCTCATTTAGGCCAGCAAGAGTTGGAAGGAAAACGAGTTCCACGCATGGTTTCTGGAAAGACCTTACCATGCTTTTCTCCCTGGGATTGTTCCCCCAGAGCAGGAGGATTCATTATTGATCGGTTTCTTACAGCCCTTCACCCACAGGAATATTACTTTCATTGCATGGCTGGTCGTGAAGGGTATAAATATTCTTTTGTTAAATGGAAAATGTTCATACATTTTTGTTGTTAAATGATTATGGCCATTAGAGTTGTGAGTTTGCTATAATTTTATTCCATTGTCCGTGTCTGTATCTTTTCAATTCAATCTGGTAGATATAATGGCAGTTAATACCAACATGCATGTACATGTGACAGATATTGGCAGTACCTATCAAAATATTTGTTATTTTAGCATTATTAGGAAAGATTATCTCAGAAGATAAACTCAAAAGAATTACTTAATACAGAGTCTGATTTTCTACCTGGCTGGCATCACTTACATGTAAGTAGGTCATATAGGGTCAGTTTGTTTAAACTTATAAACTCAATTATAAAATAGCCTTTAAGAAGTATATAGGGTCAGTTTGTTTAAACTTATAAAATGAAATATAAAATAGCCTTTAAGAAGTATATAGAAGTTGCTTTTAAAAAAAACAAAGCAGAAAACGATTTATTTTTAAAATAGACAAGCACATTAAAAAAGTAGAAAACTTTCATTTATTAAAAAATGGCACTTTTTCTTAAAAGTTTATACAAATGGCCCATGTGAATATATCAAGATCATATAATTCACATGGCTGCGTATGAATGTATGATGTATACTTTACGGTGCTTGCATGCAGGGTGTTGCATGTGAAGAAGTAAAACATAATTGATGTGTTTTATTTGTTTTGTTAGAAATTATTGAAATATTTATTTCATTTGTTTGTTTGGTTTTTTAATCTGTAATATCTATTATACTCATAACTTGTTTATTGCATATTCAAAATTGAAACATTCTCAACATTTCTCTATTTAATATCAGCAAATAATTGAGTGTTCTTACTCGATTTTGTGCCTTCTCCTATGCCTCTTCACAACTGAAGATTAGATCACCAAATTATGCTATTGTCATTTGTGTTTTTAAATTCAATAATTAACAAACGAGTAATAATACCTGGACAGACTTGAAAAACTACTCATAGGCTCCTTAAGGCCATGGATATTACTCTGGTTTTACTATAACTTTTTCTTAATAATCCAGTTTATGCACGCACCTTGCATTAAGCGTATCTTTCCCTTTATATAAGTAGCTGCTTTGTTTTATTTATCTTTTTGGTTATGGCAGACTTGTTTTAGCCTTCTGAACAAGTTTTGCAGTTTTTTAACATTTTTGTTTACGTTGCTATGTTAAACTATCACATGTGAAGGACAATGGGAAGAATAGCCAGCAGTTTAAAACTTCATAGTCTATGAAATTGAGTTGCATAATTTGATTTTATTAGTTTCTAGTTTTTTTTCTTGATTTCAATTGTTTAAAAGGGGTAGAGGTATACTAGCAGAGCATCAATTAAGAAAAGTTGATCACATAGGAGAGAGTTTATTAAAGGAGTGGAAAAGGCCCAAGAAAATTTCAGTAGAAACCATTAAAAAGACCATCTACCAAAAAATTTGGTTTTTGGTAGAGCCCAATAGTGTCTATTGATCCTTGTGGTGATTCCTACCTAGTTGGATAACACTTGGTTATTGTTTATTGACTGTCTGTTTTTATTTGTTGCATTCATATTTGCATTTTTATAATGTTAGAACCATGTCCAAAGTTTAGCCTTGAATGGTTACACCACTCTGCCTCCTGCCCTTGCCACTGGATGCATTCTTGTTTATTTTGTCTTCTCTTTATGATGTTTACTCCCCTTTATGCAAACTTCATCAATTCTTTGAATATATTTTAATCTTTATGCCAGTCATAATGTATTATTGGTAATCATGTTCTAGATTGTAACAAATGACATCTTTGCTCCACAGATTGGTTGATACTGCTGTCAAAACATCTCGGAGTGGTTACCTGCAAAGATGCTTAATGAAGAGCCTTGAGTGTCTTAAAGTTTGTTACGATCATACTGTCCGTGATGCTGATGGTTCTATTATTCAGTTCCACTATGGAGAAGATGGTGTTGATGTCCATCAAACTAGCTTTATCACCAAATTTGAAGCATTATCAACTGTATGAACATGTTTATTATTTTGATTATTTCACATACAACTTGTAACTTGTTTATATATTTCTCTACTATTATTTTCAGAATAAAGAATTGTTCTATAGCAACTGTTGCCGTCAGATAGACAGATCCAGTCCATATATCAACAAATTGCCTGATGCTCTTAAAGCAAAAGCTGAAAATTTCATTCGTGATCTGTCTTCAAAAGGGAAAAATCTTGGTTCTATGAAGCGAAGAGAATTCTTAAAGTTGATGGAGCATAAGTATGTCTCATGTCTCGCTCAACCAGGTGAACCAGTTGGTGTATTAGCTTCTCAATCTGTTGGAGAGCCAGCAACGCAGATGACGTAAGATATTTTACATTGTCATGGATATTTTGCCTTATTTTTTGCATGAGCCTGTTGCATTCTTTGGTTGTTTTCATATGTGGAAAGTAAATTTTATGGATAACTTTTGACAATTTGGAAGTAGCAAAAAGAAAGAAGTTAAAAAATGATTGTTAATTGTGTGGTTGGAAGTGGATGAAAGCTTTGGGCATGGAGGGATGAAATTCTGATGTGAGCACTATGCTGAAGCTGAATACTGGCTCACCCACACTGTTTTTATTTAAAGAAAAGTAGGATAGGTGGATTACTGTTTGACAGAACATGTCACGTGTGAAGTCAGCTCCTTTATTTAATGAGTTTATGGAATAACTTGCCCATGGGGTAAACTACATCTTAGTTAACAGGTATGGCAATATATAGTAGTAGGGAAGCTGCAGCGCTTTCTGATGATGTCATGGAAAATTATCATTTTAATTTTCATAGAAAAATATTGAAATGTGGAATTGTGGACAACTTTTCTTATATATTCCTGGTGAAAACCTAAAGAAAACTAATAGGAACAATGACATTATTTGCATCTGCTATATTATTGTATATATATAAAATCTAAAGCTTTCTCTTAATGGTATGCTAGAATATAAGAAGTATTTATACTTTAATATGCTTCATGTATGTGATACCAATATTCTTGGATACTTCACCTATACATATCGGTGAATGATCAATGCCTTAAATATTTTTATAGAAGTCTAATACAACTATATGAGTGATACAAAAATGTATCTTATAGAAACACAGAAGCATTGTCCTATGATGAACCTAAAATGGAAATTGTCCTCTTAAAGAATGATTTCAATAAAGGAATGAGATTGATACTGTAGTATTATTTCTATTTGTAAATTATAGGAAGTAATATATGATGACAATGATTTATAAGTTCTTTGTTCTAGTGATGTTCAGGTCCAGAAGTATGTTTTTAATTAGGATATCCAAAACTGCAATTATATATTTATTATGTTTTATGAATTTTGATATACATATCTTAATATGTATCTTACTTGCATTGCATCCTATATATTTTTAGAATAATCATATTGCGTTGTCATATTTGCACATTATAGGCTAGAACTTATTTCAGGGAAGTAGGTGATTTTGTGGCAGCTATGAAATTGTCAATAATGATAAAAACTTGAATTGTATATATGTGTGGTTAATTAATTTTATGTGCATATTTTTGTCTTCTTTTTTCCAGTTTGAATACTTTCCACCTTGCTGGTCGAGGTGAAATGAATGTGACCCTTGGAATTCCACGTTTGCAAGAAATCGTGATGGCTGCTGCACGTGATATCAAAACTCCATTTATGACATGCCCCTTGAGACCCAATAAATCTATGTGAGATATTGACATTGTTATCTGTTCTCTATTGTGTTTGTGTGTGCGTTATTATTGTTTCAGAAAACCTATTGCTTTTTCTGCACACACTTGTATAGGTGTTTGATGCAGTTTTGATTACAGGGAAGATGCCATTTGTCTTGCCGATAAGTTGAAGAAGATCACTGTAGCTGACATAATTAAGAGTATGAAAGTTTCTGTTATACCAGTAACCGTTCTTGGTGGTCAGGTTTGCAGTATATATAAACTTGTCATGAAGCTATATAAACCTAAACAGTATCCGAAGTACACTGATATTACCCTTGAAGACTGGGAGGATACTCTAAGAGTTGTCTTTGCGAGAGAGTTGGAGGATGCCATTGAAAATCACATGACATTGCTTTCTAAAATTAGTGGCATAAAGAAATTCAAGACACCACAATCACATCATTCAAACAGCTCAGAAAGTGCTCACAGCAATGAATCAGAATTTGAGAAAAAAGGTCAAATTAATGATGATGATGATGGTGTTGTTGAAGATACCGAAGGGTATGAAGATCTTGGTTCAGATGCACAAAAGAGAAAACAGCAAGGTACTGATGAGGTTGATTATGAGGATGGTCCCGAAGAGGAAACACGTGATGGTGAGCTATCAGAGGAAATTGATGGTGATGAGGAAGGCAGTGATACTGATGTCAATGAGAATGATAATAATGTCACACTTGATGCTAATAATTCTGAAGGACTACAAAAACCCTCCAAGTCAAAGTCTATTGGTGAAAAAGATAACAAACAGAAGAGAAAATCTGAACCAGCTTCAAAAAAATATGATAGGGCAGTTTTTGTGAAAGCTAAAGGGATGCATTTTGAGATCCACTTTAAATTTACTGGAGAACCTGACATTTTGTTAACTCAGGTACTTTTAGTTGCAGCTCATTTCTGTTAATATACTGTAAATTTTGGGGGTGATGTCTTTACTGCTGATATCAAAGTTTAAGTTGTGTTAGTGTCTATAAGATGGATCATTCGACACTATAGATGGTTTATTTTTATATTTTAGGACATTATATATGCCTAGAAGCCCAGTGCCTTTTACGTACACTGTGTTGGCTCCATTTAAATGCATATGGGGGTGTCAAAGTTTTTTTTTTCTATTACAGTGTAGGTGTGTTTCGACACTGACCAGGAGTCAATCATACGAGTAACCTAATATTTTTTAAACTGTGGTTTAGCAAAGTTAGTGTCAGTTACTTTCATATCTGGAAAACTTTGCTATGTTAAAAATGGGCTTGCATTGTTTTTTTTTTTTAAAAGATGGAGATATCATAGTTGTATCTTTTTCTTTTTATGCTCTTTGTTTTTACTTTTTGAATTTCTCAAGTGAAACACAGGAATTTTTCCTGTTGTCGTTTGGGCAGTATTGACCTAGTGCATGGATAGTAAAGTGTTGATACACAATTTGATCTTTGAAAATGACAACTTGTGTGTTGGTTTGGTCCTTAAAGATTCCCCCTCAACACACACCCAAATGATGAAGGCTTCATAAAAATTTAATGCTTCTGTTAGTTGGTGGTAGTGACACATAACCATAGTGATAGATAGGTATGTTAAGTGCACACGAGTAACATTTCTTGTCAATTAGATTTGTTAAAATTCTTAAATGATTTTTGTTTTAAGAAATTTTGGGATTTACACAGATTATAGACATTTATATGGGAGAGAATGAGTCGGAAAATTTCATTTCCAATATTTTAGAGATGATGAATCAGGCAATCTAGTTGGCAAAAAAACATTACACATATATTTAATGTTCCTCATCAGCATCTCTGTACATCTCTCTAATACCGACTCATTGAAGGATTGGCTTGTTGTGAAGTTTGTCACTTCTAGGGACTTCGTTGTATATGAACTTGATTGCAAACTATCAAATCCAATGTTGAGATAGGGTTGTGGATGTGAAATAGTAACATGAGATCAATGGAAATTGTGAAGTGAAATATGATCGGTAAAAAGATAAGCTTGCTGTTGCCTGTTGGGTATATATATGCCTGTTTGGTATGTGGATGTGAAATAGTAACATGAGATCAATGGAATTTGGGAAGTGAAATATGCTATTTTTCTATGTTGCTTATGAAACTCACTGTTTCCAAATCAACTATATGCAGATTGCTCAGAGAACAGCCAAGAAGGTTTGCATCCAAAATTTTGGAAAAGTTGGTGAATGTAAAGCTATTACTTGTAAAGAAAGTGGAGTTGTCTACTATGGTGAAGATGGCAGAAAAAGAGATGATATTCCAGCCTCAGTTAAAGAAAAAATACCAGCACTTCAGACATCAGGGGTACATTTTAAAACATTTTGGGAGTTGGAAGATAGTCTTGATGTTAGGTACATTTATTCAAACAACGTGTATGCTATGCTAAACGCATATGGGGTGGAAGCCGCGAGGGAGACCATCATCAGGGAAATACAGAATGTTTTCAAGTCTTATGGTATATCTGTAAATATCCGGCACTTGACACTCATTGCCGACTTCATGATGCACTCCGGTGACTATCGCCCGATGAACAGAACAGGGAGCATAGCAGACTCTACTTCTCCTTTCATCAAAATGTGCTTTGAGACAGCTTCCAAATTCATTGTTGAAGCAGCTTATCATGGGCAGGTGGACAACTTGGAAACACCATCTTCTAGAATTTGTCTTGGTTTGCCAGTGAAGATGGGAACTGGGTGCCATGACTTGATACAGAAATTGGAGATTTGATATTGTTGCCTTGTTCTTCAGCTTTAGACCTTTGGCCCCCAAATGCTTGGAGGTCATGGCAATTTTGATACCATAATTGTACACTATCAAATGCCAAATTTTCATGGCCATTGTTATGCGGCTTCAATGTAGTTTGTTTGGAAGTAGTAGTAGCATAGCCTGAAATGCCATTCCTTGTCCAATGTCTATACATAGGTGAGTTTTCCTCGGGCCTTGATTTTCCCGCTTGGTCTTGAGTGTAACGTTTTCACATAATTTAAATATTTTTCTCCAAAAACAATAACCTTACTCCATTGATCACATGATGTTAGGTTGGTTTAGCTATTTACTTTGTTTAGTAAATTTACATGGACTTTTGATGATCTTTAATTTTAGATGTGTATTATAATTGGAATTGAGAATGGATTGAGTTGAATTCGACTTTAGTCAAAGGAGATCGTATTGTTCATAGTTATTTTAAACAGTACATTGGTCATGCAGATGTGCGCTGCTATTTGCTAACATGTCTTCCTAGTGTTTAGGATTGAACATGTGGAATGAGGCCCAACTTATTTCCAAAAGTTGTTGAGGATTATTCTTGAAATTTTAAGTTATAGTACATTGGCCATATAATCATTTTATTCGGGATCTTAAAAAGGGTACTGGGTGTAATAAACATTGGCTCGTGACAAATCAGTGTAATTTACCCTAATAAAATAACTCTGATGCCATTTAGCGTGTATTTCAATTTTCAAAATGTAAAGGGAATAATTTGGAATCCGTTATTTGAACATGATATCCAAATAGAGTATATCAGTGATTCCACTGCATTTCAAAAGTTTGGTTTATTGGTAGGTCCATTCGTGATAAATGATAACAGTCCTTAACGGACTTGGATCTTTTGATTAATTAATTACAAGAAAGTTCAACAATAACAAGCTTTTTCTCATCCAGCGAAATCAACAGTGTGAATCATACAATTTCCTTTGACTCAGTTAAAATCCAAGGTTTGCACATGTTATTTATCATAAAATTATTCTTGACCACTAACTGTATTATTCTTCTTGGTCTTATATTTTCTTCACAGTACTTAAAATCACACATTCTATTCTTTACTCATGTCTCCCGGAGTCAATTGTGTACATATCCAAACCAAACCACCTTGATCGATGTACTGTTATCTTACATGTTTTTTTAATAAACGCTACTATCTTTTTAGTTAATCAAAATTTCTTAAAAGAAAGTAAATATTAAATATTTTGCTTTTTATTATAAATATTAATTTTCAATATTTATATCTACTGAAAAATTGTCTGAGAAAAAGTGCGTATGGTATTGCAGCTCCCAAAAAACATTTGGAAAACTCAACACAAAGTGACAACTTAGCAATCATGGTCTCAACAGTTTTAACTGTGGTCTGCCCAGAGCCACCGAATGAAAATGACACTAGTTTTGGATTGTTGAGAGAGAGCAGTAATGTCACTCGAAGCTGTTGTTCCTTTATTAATTGTTTTTTCTGTTAATTTCTCATCATATCAGTGAGTGAAACTGAAGGAAATTGACTTGAAAAGCGAAGGATAAAATGCATCAAACTACTTCGTCCCAACTCACAAGCCTTCTCTTAAATTTTGACGGTGATTGTTTATCCAACCTTTTTACACCCTTTAATTTGTTCACCATGTTGGAATCTTTTGTTGTTTTTAATATGACAAAAAAATGAATTAGGTAAGAGAATGTTTCTATTTTATACTTACTACTAACATTTTCTTCAGATGAATTTGTGACCCGTGACCAACTAAAATTCTGTCTACAGCAATTGGATAAACAAATGTTAGTATTCTGAACAAAAATCATCCATGAAGTGATTATGATTGTAAAAGTTTTTTTTCTTCTTTTAATTGATTTCCTAAAGTCTTATTATAATAATGTGGGGAGCCAAAATAATGTACAAATCAATTAATAGGATTTTCATTCTTCACCAGAACATTAATTAGTTTAAGTATTATTCTAGGAAAAGAATTAAAATTCTTTTTTAGTGTACAATGATGAAAATGTTGAACTTAGGACTTCATGAATACTACAAAGACCTCTCCCTAGTGCAGTAGGTTGAATTCTTTCAAGGTAGTACATATGTCAAGGCATTAATAGAGACATTACATTTTGTATTTAAAAACTTCCATTTATTTCTAATTCTTTCTCTTGATAATTAGTATTCAACCTAATCTGCATGAAATACCTTCTATTATGTAATAGGTCTTTTAAGCATGTTAATCAATACACGCGCCGTGTATTTTGGCTTGTTTAGTGTGGTGATAATATATAGGTAAGCCCTGAAATGATGCATGATGCATGCATGCGTGGTGAAGTGCATGTCTCTCTCATTAATAGTAATTTCATTTTCAAGTGTACAGATAGAGAAATAATGTGATGTCACAACTATGTGTCAACAGTGCCTCTCAATCATATATAGCCATTGAAATTATACAATCTATCTTAAAACATTAAGTGCCACCAATGGTCCTAATCTATACCTACCACAAAATATAATTAGTATCAATTCCAGTGTCTTACCTTTACTTATTCTTTCGTTCGATCAGCATGAAGGGTCCAATTTTTAATGCCAAAATACTTTTGAACATCAATGTTTTTTTTTTAGTGTTTTGACATCAATGTGAGACAACAAAAGTTATTCCTTTTAATTAATTTTGGAGTTTGAGATGCTTATTATGTACGAGAAGGATAAAACATATAAGAGTGATAAAAATATATAACAAAATACAATATTTAGACATGGTTTCGACTTTTTTATATTCAAATAATAAATTGTCCCCCATAGTAATAGTTCAATGGTGAGAGCTTGCAAGATAAATATCCCTCATGTGAACAAGATTTGGAAGACTATAAAGAGAAGAGAGAATAAAGAGACGAATGGATGTGAGATCTTAATTTATTTGAAAGAAAGATGAAAATAGACGAGACATTTTTTAAGAAAAACATATGTAATTATTTTTAATCAGATAATGAAGAGATTGAAGAAACAAATAAGAAAGAAGTATTTTCTCGCGAGGAGAGAAAAAGTGATAATAGGATGAAAGTACTATTTTAATAGAAGTATTTTGTTAGGCATACTTAGTTGGTCGTCCTCTAGTTTATTATATTATATTTTCAGTTTAAAAGTTAGTTAGGGGTTGATATATCATTTATATTTATATTTTAATCTTGGCCTTCCTATATATATATAATATATATGGTTCAGATTTATCCTTCACTCGCACACACATGGATGGCAATATAGTTGAAATTTATCATTCTCTATCTCTCGCATACAAGGAATGATAAATTTCAACTATATTGCCATCCATGTGTGTGTGAATAAATCTAAACCATATATATATATATATATATATATATATATATAGAGAGTGTATTAGCAACCTATACCAAAATTTTAAGACAAAAAAATCACTCATTTCTTTTGATTTGGTTAATTTGTATAAAGAATATTATAGTAATTTAATTTAATTTTAAATAAAAATAAAATATTTTTTTTCTCTTATTAATTTCATTATTTAAATTATTTCTCTCTCTTATTAAATTCTTTCTCCAACTCATTTCTCTTTCCTATTAAATTCTTTCTCTAACTTATTTATCTCTCTCCTATTAAATTTCTTCTTTAACTCATTTATCTCTCATCTCTCATGATGTCTCCTTTCTCTCTCATCTCTCATGATGTCTCCCCCCCTCTCTCTGAACAAATAAATATTAATTAATAGAGAAAATAAATATTAATTAATATAAAAAATAAATGAATTGGAGAATAAAATTAATAAGAGAGAGAAAATATTTTATTTTTATTTAAAATTAAATTAAATTACCATAATATCCTTTGTACAAATTAATCAAATCAAATGAAATGAGTAATTTTTTTGTCATAAAATTTGGGTGTAGGTTGCTAACATACTCCCACTAAAAAATAGGTAGGAGTATATTAGCATTCCCTATATATATATATATGTAACAAATTAAAAAATTATTAAATTTTATTGTCTTAATTAATACTATCTAATCTACTTAAAAATTGTTTGGTGTAAAAGTCTATCATATCCTTTTCTTATATCTTATTTTATTTTATTCATTAATTTTTTTTCAATAAAAGATTTAAAATATTAAACATCCACTTCTTAAAAAGTGTCATTTTCCTACGAATTTTCCTGCAAAAAAATATTCGCAGAAATTTTTCGCGAATTTTCCTGCAAAAAAATATTGGCAGGAATTTTTTGCGAATTTTCCTGCAAAAAAATATTCGTAGAAATATTTTGCGAATTTATTTGCGAAAAATAATTTACAGATATTTCTTACAAATTTTGCTACAATTTTAATGATCATAGAAATTTTTTTCCATGGTAAAAATTTGTAGAAAATATTGTAAGAATTTTATTTTGTTTCTTGCATATTTTCTTGCAAAAATAAATTCGCAAGTAATGTTTACTAAATGGTAGAAAAATTTTGCAGGTAACTTTTCCTGCGAATTTTCCTGCAAATTTTAATCCGCATGACAAATAAAAAAAATATTTAAATTTATAAGTTTAATATTTTAAAAATAGTTCAAGTCCCATATCGATTGAAAATAAAACAGTTAAAGAGTATATAAGTTAGAGCAACACTTATCTTACAAGTTGATTTGTATGGTTGAGTGTTAGGCTTATAATCTACAATCTTAGAATTTAAAATATTATGTATCACATGTTGGAGGCATGGAAACAAATGCTTCAGATGAATTCATTGTATGAGCATTTGAAAGTTGAAGAATTATTGATAGAATTTATAGTAATTTTTTAAATTTTTTGGTAAAAAATATTCCTGTAGAATTTCTTGCGAAAAAATTCGTAGGAAAGTTTCCTGCAAATTTTTTTTGTAAGAAACTTTCCTGCAAATTTTTTCGCAAGAAATTTTGTAGGAAAATTTCCTGCGAATTTTAAAATTCGCAAAAATATATTATCTACAAAAGTATTACCTGCAGATAAAATTTCGCAAAAAAATTTGTAGGAACAATGTTTCCTGCGAATTTTTCATAAAAATTCGCAGGAAAAGTCGTATATAATAAGAGAACTTCTAGTAGTGATCACTATAGAACTAAGGCATTCCAATAAGATTGACACTTCAAAGTCTATCAATCATCTGTAATACACTAAAAATATATATATATAAAAAGAGAGAAAATAGTAACAATAACATGGGGGTCTCTACCAAAATCCATGAAGGAATCAAGAAAAATGAAAAAGAGGTAAATC